TGTATAGAGATTGTATAGAGAATGTATATAGAGATTGTAAAGAGATTGTATAGAGAATGTATGTAGAGATTGTGTAGAGATTGTAAAGAAATTGTATAGAGAATGTATATAGAGATTGTAAAGAAATTGTATAGAGAATGTATATAGAGATTGTAAAGAGATTGTATAGAGAGTGTATAGAGAGTGTATAATGAGATTGTTTAGAGATTGTGTAGAGATTGTATAGAGATTGTATAGAGATTGTAAAGAGATTGATTGTAAAGAGATAGATTGTAAAGAGATTGTGTAGAGATTGTGTAGAGATTGTATAGAGATTGTATAGAGATTGTATAGAGATTGTGTAGAGATTGTATAGAGATCGTATAGAGATTGTATAGAGATCATATAGAGATCGTATAGAGATTGTGTAGAGATTCTAAAAAAAATGTATAGAGATTGTATAGAGATTGTGTAGAGATTGTCAAGAGATTTGATTTTTATTGTGTAGTTTAATAAGATCAATTTACACCATTCTAATTTTCAGTGAAGATGTCTGTGGTTCCCGTAATTCTACTCAAATTAGAATTAATTGTTCTATTAAGTCTTGTATTATAAAGGAACTACAAACATGACTGACTGAAACTTAATGTAAATAGAAACCATATATAGCTCTGATACACATTAACAAATTATAACAACTCTTTACAACTCCTTTAATATAATTTTTATCATGTTACTTTACAAACATTGTCTTTCAAGCAGACATGAATCTTATCACCTGGTATATAACAATTCTACATTGTGGTGTTTTACTTCTAAACTGTTGCTGTAGAAAAAATCAATACTTCATGCAACCAATAACAGTTCTAGTGAAATTTGCTCAGTTTTCAACCGTACTATTTTCAGGGCAAAGAATCATGGATTAGTATAGATGGAGAGGCCTTTGAAACAATACCATTAGAAATTACTGTATTAAAAGATAAACTAAAAGTATTGTGTAACCCAGAGACACCTGAAGTTAGCTGATAGTCAACATCAGTATAAAATGGTACTGTAGACTTTTGTAAATTAAAATCATTATTTTGTGTCAGATTTTGTTTTGTTCGACAAACATACAGTACTAGTATTCATTAGGTCGGAAAATATTAATATCTTCGTTCTCTGACACCACCGCGTCTTGCTAGTGGAAGCATTTTTATTTCTAGTAATTAAAAATAAAAACATAAGTAGACATTTGCACATTGAATTTTCCGGGTAAAGGGACATAACCCTTTAGTAAACAAAAGCCAGATGACAAAAAAAAAAAATGGCTGAGCATGTTTGTTTCAACATAGTTCAGTAAGAAGTAAAAGTACCAATACCTATATCACTGATTGGCTACTATAAATGAGATTGATAAATTTTATGAATCTTTATGAATCAAACAGGTTTTAGTTTTGCCCCGTTACAGCAGAAAAATTGAAAATGGGGACTGATCTGCTATCTGTATGTGTCTTTCTACGAACAAAATGCTTGCTTCCATGGACAATTTTAGGTTTTTCACCTACTGTGACTGTGGCTGAGATGGCTAAAAGTATTCTACAGAATGAAGTTGAAGGGTTAAATGTTGCCATAGTCCCTCGTCACTATTTTAAAAACTGTTCTCCCTCGTCACTATTTTAAAAACTGTTCTCCCTCGTCACTATTTTAAAAACTGCCCTTCCTCGTCACTATTTAAAGATGGATTGTCTGAGAACCAAGATATTAATTTTGTCTGGCCTTATATTCTTTAAAATAAAAAAAAACACTTTGCACACTGGAAAACATTTCCTGTTGACATTAACCAAATACAATCTAGATTGGAGGCCATTACAACAATATATTTCTAAACCTACACCAATAAAAACAGACGATGTAGCCTGTATTAAACTGAGCTTTTTATTATTAATACCCCTAAACACACGTCTTTAAACAAATGTTCCGAACTCGTCTCAAAGTGTAGACACGCAGGCTGAAATAGATCAGTTGTCTGAAGATCTCTGCTTGTCAAACTTCAATAGGGATACAAACTGAAATAGATCAGTTGTCTGAAGATCTCTTCTTGTCAAACTTCAGTAGAGACGCAGGCTGAAATAGATCAGTTGTCTGAAGATCTCTTCTTGTCAAACTTCAGTAGGGAAGGCTGAAAATATTTCAGTTGTCTGAAGATCGTGTAGCTTGAAACTCTGAGTGACAGCATGTTATTTTTTGTTTCTGTTTTAATATTTCTATTTCTAATTTTCTTCATATAAATTGATGAATAAAACTTAAACACCGAGACTGAAGGGGTTAACAATTATCGAACATTGTCACTACTTCCCTCAAAAGCTGGGTTGGAAATCTGTCTTATGAGGAAGTGGAATAGCTTGGTAGAGTTGGATAGTGTCGTCTGCTAGACGTTAAGGTGCCGTCGGTTCGAATCCTCCTCAAGGTTAGAAAAATTCTGATGCCTGTGCCAGTGCTTTCGAGAGTCGGCACGGTGTAGGTTCTCACCCCCAAATACCGAGAGGAATATTTATTACAACATGGATTGATGTTTTACAGAAGATATCCACATTAAATTTCATAGGTTATTACATTAAGCTTAGTTTCATAGGTTATTACATTAAGCTTAGTTTCATAGGTTGTTACATTAAGCTTAGTTTCATAGGTTATTACATTAAGCTTAGTTTCATAGGTTATTACATTAAGCTTAGTTTCATAGGTTATTACATTAAGCTTAGTTTTATAGTTTATTACGTTAAGATAACCTAGGGTCTTAACTTCTAACACTGTTTCTAGGATAACCTAGGGTCTTAACTTCTAACACTGTTTCTAGAATATCCTAGGGTTTTAACTTCTTACACTGTTTCTAGGATATCCTAGAGTCTTAACTTCTAACACTGTTTCTAGGATATCCTAGGGTTTTAACTTCTTACACTGTTTCTAGGATATCCTAGAGTCTTAACTTCTAACACTGTTTCTAGGATATCCTAGGGTTTCAACTTCTAACACTGTTTCTAGGATATCCTAGTGTTTTGAGATTGATTTGAGACTACATGGCTAGGATATGTTTAAAGTTAATATTTAGTAAATAAAATAATTTATTGATAAATAAAATATAAGACAAGAGATGGTATATAAAAATATAAAAACATTATGCATGTTTATTTACAATGAGTAATATAATATATAGATTTTAATAAAAAACATGCTAGATAAATACGATCAGATCTTCACTTCTCAAAACTCAAAACAGGAAACTCATTGAGAAACATGACACAGGATTTAATATCTCAGTCTACATCTACATCCTTTGTAGAGCTTTTTATATGCCTGTCTGTCTGTGCACAACTGTTGTCGACAGATAGAGAGCTAGTTTCGTTTCGGATTTTGACAAAATTTAAACAGTTTAAAAAATTTTCGCGCTCTTGCCGAATATCCAGCTTTGCTCAAAGCTTTCCAACGATCTATTACGACCCTGGCGCTTTAGTCGAGCTTTGTTACGCTTTGGTACCGCCATCAAAGCGCCGTTGGTGTGAACTGAGCATTATCACTTAAAGAAGAACCCTATATAAATTCAGAGTTATTACCAGTGTTCTTGAAAACGAGTTCAATTTTTATTTGAAAATGTGTTTTGGACATGATAGAGAGCTGATTTCTAGATGGAATTTAGTGTCAATGTTTGTCACCAAGTAAGGATTAAACAAATACCTAGATGTTAAATGTTTCATTTGATTAAATTCATCAATTAATTGAAATGCTTCTCATAATTTTGTTTTCTTTATTATTTTATTCTAACAGCAGTTAAACCGTGTTTTTCAGTTCAGTTAAACCGTGTTTTTCAGTTCAGTTAAACCGTGTTTTTCAGTTCAGTTAAACCGTGTTTTTCAGTTCAGTTAAACCGTGTTTTTCAGTTCAGTTAAACCGTGTTTTTCAGTTCAGTTAAACCGTGTTTCTCAGTACAGTTAAACCGTGTTTCTCAGTTCAGTTAAACCGTGTTTTTCAGTTCAGTTAAACCGTGTTTCTCAGTTCAGTTAAACCGTGTTTCTCAGTTCAGTTAAACCATGTTTCTCAGTTCAGTTAAACCGTGTTTTTCAGTTCAGTTAAACCGTGTTTCTCAGTACAGTTAAACCGTGTTTCTCAGTTCAGTTAAACCGTGTTTTTCAGTACAGTTAAACCGTGTTTCTCAGTTCAGTTAAACCGTGTTTCTCAGTACAGTTAAACCGTGTTTTTCAGTTCAGTTAAACCGTGTTTTTCAGTTCAGTTAAACCGTGTTTCTCAGTTCAGTTAAACCGTGTTTCTCAGTACAGTTAAACCGTGTTTCTCAGTTCAGTTAAACCGTGTTTTTCAGTTCAGTTAAACCCGTGTTTCTCAGTTCAGTTAAACCGTGTTTCTCAGTTCAGTTAAACCGTGTTTCTCAGTTCACTTAAACCGTGTTTCAGTGTTTACAGTTCAGTTTGCAAGGTTTCACAGTTCAGTTTGCAAGGTTTTACAGTTCAGTTAGCAAGGTTTTACAGTTCAGTTCGCAAGGTTTTACAGTTCAGTCTGTAGTTCCGATCTTGATGTACCAACGTGAGAAAGAGGATATAATCCTGTCGTTCCGTCTGCTAACATACCGACACACCAACCTAGTCTCGAACTTTCCTACAAAATAAAACAACAGTAACTAAGTTAGATAATTCTTTTAGTTAGGAATTAACTGAAATGAAATTTGTTATGTCATGAGAATTCTATTATAGTTCCTCTATTAGATTAGGTAGCTTTCAGGCTTAATTCTTTGCTTGTGTTGGTAGACAGCTTTTCAGTTGGGAGTTGGCATACGAAAAATCATGGCATGGCTCTGCTCCAATGAAATGTGCTAGATATATTGTCATTATTTTGAAGGCTACAGCTTTAAGGCAACAACCAAGATTTAAACACTTTGTTTTTTTCAAACAAATCTACCTAGTGCTACTGGTGTTACATATCTACTGAGCTACTGACTTGATTGTATATATCTACTGAGCTACCGACTTGATTGTATATATCTACTGAGCTACCGACTTGATTGTATATATCTACTGGGCTACTGACTTGATTGTATATATCTACTGAGCTACTGACTTGATTGTACATATCTACTGGGCTACTGACTTGATTGTATATATCTACTGAGCTACTGACTTGATTGTATATATCTACTGAGCTACTGACTTGATTGTATATATCTACTGAGCTACCGACTTGATTGTATATATCTACTGGGCTACTGACTTGATTGTATATATCTACTGAGCTACTGACTTGATTGTATATATCTACTGAGCTACCGACTTGATTGTATATATCTACTGAGCTACTGACTTGATTGTATATATCTACTGAGCTACTGACTTGATTGTATATATCTACTGAGCTACCGACTTGATTGTATATATCTACTGAGCTACTGACTTGATTGTATATATCTACTGAGCTACTGACTTGATTGTATATATCTACTGAGCTACTGACTTGATTGTATATATCTACTGAGCTACTGACTTGATTGTATATATCTACTGAGCTACTGACTTGATTGTATATATCTACTGAGCTACTGACTTGATTGTATATATCTACTGAGCTACTGAATTGATTGTATATATCTACTGAGCTACTGACTTGATTGTATATATCTACTGAGCTACTGACTTGATTGTATATATCTACTGAGCTACTGACTTGATTGTATATATCTACTGGGCTACTGACTTGATTGTATATATCTACTGAGCTACTGAATTGATTGTATATATCTACTGAGCTACTGACTTGATTGTATATATCTACTGAGCTACTGACTTGATTGTATATATCTACTGGTCCATCTTTCCACATTTAAACTGTGAGGTGGGGGCCAGAAAATATCTTCTATTATTTTCAATTATAGTATAAACACCCTCCAACATGCGATAAAACTTCCTAGTCATATACCTCATCAATATCCATAATAAAACTCCCTTCATCAAAACTGAGTTCCCCTTCATCTAGAGCTCGGAAACTTCGTAAAGCTATACGCAGGTTGGTTCGTTTAGTAGTAGTACTGTTAACAAAGTATATAAATATTGTTTATAAGATAAATATATGAAACTAGGTAAAGAATCACAAGATATATAGATATACTATTTCTAATATTTATTAACTCAACGTTTCACATGCTCCTATAGACAGTGTTAGATAATTTAACAATATAATAAGCCTAACACTGTCTTCATGTAAAATGTTGAGTTAGAGAGATAGTTGCACCAATCTTTTTGACCAATTATACTTTTAGTCTCAGAAACAGGAATTTTTTTAGCTACGCCAATCAGTAAGTGTTCACAGCTCACCGTCGAAATTTGAGTCTTCAAATCCATTTAACAAATATGAAAAATAGTATATCTATATATTTTGTGATTCTTTATCTATAAATTAGGCATCTATGATATAGTGGTCAATATTTTTTGTTAAGAATTTATATATTTATATATAATAGAGAGCCATAGACCAATCTAATACAAAAACTATCACCATATAGATTGTTCTGATGAACAGTAGTATATACATTAAAGATGGGTTCCCTTTTTTTCACTTATGAAAATGAAAATGCTAATATTTATATGAATAGAAAGTAGAGGTGTTCTAATGACTTGGAAATATACCAGTTTGTCTCACATATCCATAATTAATTCATAATTAGCTAAATTAGAAGAGAATTACCAACAGAATTCCACAGGGTGATCGATCAAGAAAAGATAAATATGCTTTTTTTGTTTATCCAGACTGTACATACATGGACATATATGATTGGTTAAAACTCTTAATTATATGCAATAAGGACATAATGATATGATTAAGAATACATGATAATTCATTAGAAACACCAATTAATCAAATAGTTTGACACTAACAAATAAGGAAACCCATCTATAAGTAATTAACTAAATAACTCAAAAACTTTTTCTACAAGTTTCAGTTAGTATCTTCAGGGAGAAATTATATAGTAACAATAACATTAACATCATCATTTTATAATTAAGTTATGTTAATATTATTCAGAATTCTAGAGATGGAAATTTGTTGCAGATTCATTTCTTATAAGAAGAGTGAAACGCTTGGCTTCCTACGCTTCCCAGAAGTTCTAGAAATGAATTGACACTTACATCTCTGATTATTGTAATAATGTTATGTCTTATTGAAGATATTACTGAAACCTGTAGAATATGAAGTGTGTGTGTTATTTACTGTAATAGTTCAATATATTTAATACTTACCCATTACTAATAGAATAATTGTAGTGAATATTTGAGAAGGAAAAATAATAATGATAATGATAATGATAATAATAATGATAATAATAATGATAATCATAATCATAATAATAATGATAATAATAATAATAATGATAATAATGATAATAATAATAATAATAATGATAATGATAATGATAATGATAATAATAATAATAATAATAATCATAATAATAATAATCATAATAATAATAATAATAATTGTAATATTTCTATATAAAAGTTGATATATTTGATATACTTACAGATCTGAGGGGTCCTCAGTGTTGGTGATATTACTGAGGGGGTCAGACACCAGGGTTCTTGATACTAGAGGTTTAGGGGATATAGGTTTTGGTGGAATTTTGGGTTTGTTGAGTTTTCTTACGTGATTGCTGTTTTCTGACGAATTTGAGATATTGTCTTTTTCTATTCCATTGGTTTCAGGAATTTTGAGTTTTGACTCATTTTGAACATTTTCGGACTTATCCATAGAATTGTTATTCACGAACTTGTTCAGTTCATTTAACAGTTTTGATTGGTTGGTTTCTATGACTGTAGGAGCGTTCACTTCTGGATCTTGGCTCAATCTGTTAAATTTCAGGGGATTCACATTGTCATTGTCAGTGTCACTTTCGTTGATTTTTGTACTATTTTCACTTTCTGGTGGGAAAACATCAGAATTGTCTATTTCTTTATCAGTCTCACTTTTTGTGTCTGTCTGATCGAGGTGTAAATATTTTCCCATGTCAATATGCATGTCTCCTGTAGTTACGAACTCATTTTCGAGTTCCTTCAAATCAAAATCCTTCGGAACCTCCTTTTCTTCCGAATTTGGTTCAGTAGATTCCTGATTTTCAGAGTCCATAAGTTTTGGAGATTCCACCTCATTATGTACAGCATTTTGATTGGTTGGCAGAAGAGGCGGTAAAACAGGCGGAGACACTTTCTTCAATCTTTTGGTTTTCCCGCCAATTTTTGGAGTCATCGAATTATCAATCACTTCATCTAATAGATGAGCAGAAATTCGATTCAGAATTTTGGGACCAACAGAATTATTAAGTGACCCCTCAGTAGAGTTCATGGACATGTCAAGGTCATCTACTTTCGTATCCATGGATTCCACGTCTAAATTTCTGGTTGGAGGTTTTGGTGGAAGCTTTCGATGGCCAACTGGCGTAGAACTCAATGGCGTTGATTCTCCATTTTGTCCATTCGTGACATTTGATTGGTTGTTATGATCTTTTGGTTTGTATTTCCTGTAACGTGATTGGTTGGGAGGTTTTTGAGGTCGTGGAGGAAGAGGTCTTTCACTCGGTCGGGGTTGAACTGCAAGATGACGTAATTTCTTACTAGAATGTTTTGGCACTTTGACTAGTTTGGGTTTCACAAAGCGAATTGGTAATTCTGGTTTTTCACCTGGTTTTAATTTTTCGTTGAAATTGTCTGTTAAAGAATCCATACTGCGTTGATCGGGTTTCGTTAGAGAAATTTTAGGTGATGCAGTTCGGGGTTTGGCACTAGGTGGCAGCGGAGCTTTTCGCGCAGGTTTAAAGTCAGGTGACAGCACTGATTTCGATTCACGTTTGATTATTTTCGTAGATTTGTCATGATCGTTTTCTGACGGCAGATTTCCAAGTGAATCATCCAAGATATTCACAGAGCTTCTATTACTTTTTATGCTCATCTGCTCCATTTCATCAAAAATACTAAAATTTTTAACACTACTGGAGGCGTTGCTGGAACTGTCGTCTGATTTATCCAGCAACTAAAAATAGATATTGATACCTTATCAGCTATTGCCCTTGGTTTTTTTAAGTAGTGAAAGTAAATCAAGTCATGATTGGACGATATTTTATCAGTTTCTTCCCATGTCTTGTTTAAAAACAGTCTTTTTGCATTTTATGATTTAAAAATATAGTGGTTTCATTTTTTATAGAAACAATATTTTATCAGTTATTGCCCTTGTTTTCTCTAAATGGTGAAATTAAGTTTTTACATGAGTCCTTACGTAAAACGAAAATCAAAACCAGATGAATGTAGCAAATTCATCATTAAATTTACGTGGTAGGCATGCCGGGGAGGCTATACTATATCTGGGTATTTCTTTAAAGAATAGTTTTGTACACTACCTCAACGTAAGATCCTGGTAACCAGCCAACTTCATCACCGTGGCAACCTAGCCACCAACCATTATCTAATGTTTCAAACACCACAATTATATCTCCAGCTTCAAACACTAGATCTTCAGGTTTACCAGAATTATAAGCATACACGGCCTTGTGTTCTGTAATATAATAATAATGAACATTAGATTATAATGAGATGTTTAGGTTAATTATTATCAGAGAGAAGATGTCAGCTTACACTGCCCTATGTTCTGTATTAAGATATTGTTATTATCCTTTATGGTCCTTCCTCGGAACCCTATGTTCTGTAATAAGATATTGCTAGTATTCTTTATGGTCATTCCTCGGTACCCTATGTTCTCTAATAAGATATTGTTATTATCCTTTATGGTCCTTCCTCGGTACCCTATGTTCTATAATAAGATATTGTTATTATCCTTTATGGTCCTTCCTCGGTACCCTATGTTCTGTAATAAGATATTGCTAGTATTCTTTATGGTCCTTTCTCGGTACCCTATGTTCTGTAATAAGATATTGTTAGTATTCTGTATGGTCATTCCTCGGTACCCTATGTTCTGTAATAAGATATTTTCATTATCTTTTATGGTCCTTATTCGGTAGCAATTCAAAATATTGCAATTGTGGGCTTCAGATCAATCTTACCAATGATGTTAGTTCATTAAGGTCATAGAGTCTGTCGAGAATTGCCAAGGCTTCTATTGATTTTTTAAAACATTTTTTGGAAAAGATACAATTTGATTTGATTATGATAAATTTTGATTTTGGCTCATGAATGCAAATGGATTCATAATCCACTAAGATGAGTGTATTTCATCCATTCAAATTTTGCAATTTTGAGAATAAGTAAATTTGGTTTAATTTGTAAAAGTTTACCTATTCCAATAGCCTCAGTGTTAGAATTTCTAGTTTTATTAGATGATAACTGATCATATGTTAATGGAGTAGGTGTTGGGGGTCTTTCTTCTTCTGTAACCTGAAACATTATAATAATATTATTAATTTCTGACCCACAAATACACTATAATAACATTCTGATTCGATCATTTAGTATTTGTAAATACTACAACAGCTTTATCAAACAATAATAACTACTTTATGCAATGTTTTGTTGAGTTCCAAGAGAAACATTGCCTAAAACTTTAACTGGTAATTTTAGTTTGATAAAGCTTAAAATTTATAATTCAGAAAAGGCCTATGATATAGATAAGAGAACTCAACCACTGTAAGATGTAACCTTGTAAATGATATCAAGGTTTCAATGCTCTAACAGATCGAGCTTCAAGGTGTCCTGTATACACAGGGAAGTGATCAACACTGTGATAAACTGAGTTACACCCTGTCTTCAAGATGCCCTGTATACACAGGGAAGTGACCAACACTGTGATAAACTGAGTTACACCCTGTCTTCAAGGTGCCCTGTATACACAGGGAAGTGACCAACACTGTGTTAAACTGAGTTACACCCTGTCTTCAAGGTGCCCTGTATACACAGGAAAGTGACCAACACTGTGATAAACTGAGCTACACCCATCTTCAAGGTGTCCTGTATACACAGGAAAGTGACCAACACTGTGATAAACTGAGTTACACCCTACCTTCAAGGTGTCCTGTATACACAGGGAAGTGACCAACACTGTGATAAACTGAGTTACACCCTACCTTCAAGGTGTCCTGTATACACAGGGAAGTGACCAACACTGTGATAAACTGAGCTACACCCTACCTTCAAGGTGTCCTGTATACACAGGGAAGTGACCAACACTGTGATAAACTGAGCTACACCCTATCTTCAAGGTGTCGTGTATACACAGGGAAGTGACCAACACTGTGATAAACTGAGCTACACCCTACCTTCAAGGTGTCCTGTATACACAGGGAAGTGACCAACACTGTGATAAACTGAGCTACACCCTACCTTCAAGGTGCCCTGTATACACAGGGACATGACCAACACTGTGATAAACTGAGCTACACCCTTCAAGGTGTTAATCTCCATGACAAACTGAGTTACAGTCTTTCCTCGTGGTCTCCTGTTTTAACAGGGAAGTGAAAGTTTGAAAGCCCTGGACAGGTAAAACATCAGATCTAATCTCTTGCATCAAATAAAAAAAACAGGCCCTACCTCATTAACATAAACAGCGGGAAACCATCCTTCATCATGGGAATTGAGATTTCTTCCTCTCATCCAGCCGTTTCTATCTCTATCATAGCAGACGACAACATCTCCTACGTTTAACGGAATTTCACCTTTACACGATACTTTATATTGAAATACTGACTTGTATAGTTTACCTGTAATAATATATATATGTTTAAATTTCACCCTGCCCTCCAACCCTCTAGGCCATCTTTTTATACCTGCATACCTTTCATGTATCACGCAAGTTGGTAAATACAGCAATTTCATTAGATTGTACACCATCAAATACAACCAATCACAGCCCTCGAATTCATTTCAGGCCAAATTATTTAGTCTTTCTGTCAATGACTGATTGGCTGTATTCGTTGTGTACAATCCAATCAAATCGCTGTTTTTACCAACTCCCGTGATAAATGAAAGGTGTAGTTTGTAATAGCTAGACATTGTAAAGATGCCTCTAGGTTGGCTTTCCATTTACTCTCTTCAAAACTCTTTCAGTTTTATATACAACTTTAATTACTTATTTACTGTATTTATTTGACTTTGTTCATTATTGCTTGTTTTTATAGGGGAACTACTTATTTAGTTTCCTACCTGATGATTGTGTTAAATCTTCCATATCTAATGAAACAACTCTGATATCATTCATGTTGATAATTTCACTCACCAGACCTTCATCCTGGAAATGCAATTATATTGTTTGGTTTTTGGTTTGAACTTTAGGTTAGGAAAGGGCCAGTTATATGAAATTATAGACAAGTGGTTAGACAGTCCAAAACATAGGACTGTACTGTATGTGACAAATTACAAGTTTTGGTAGGAGGTAAGAACAATCTGAAAGTTTGGGTACCAAAGTAATTAACTTTCAGACCAGAACAAAAGTAAAATCAAAGTAAATATGCAATAATGAACTCACAGTGACACTCGATCAGAGGGTGAACACTAAATACTATAGAATTTGATGATTGGTTGTTAATCACAACCGTACCCAACTGGAAACATCAAATTTACGGGTAATTTTACTTAGTAAATATTCCTTCATAAATCAAACTTCTACATTGGATATAATAATTCTATTTAATAGTGAATCTACGTGGCAGGCTAATTCGAAGAAATGATTGTGGTTTGTATTCTTGAAAGATGAAAGAGTTATCCTACCTTTTCTGCATCTAATGCTTCATTCTCTTCAATTTGTTTATTTCGTGATCTTTTTCGTTGTTTTTCACGTTTTTTCAATAAAAAGGAAGTCACTGTGCCCTTTTTCTTCAATGAGCCATCAGTTTCTAGTTTTTCCAGTGTTTCAATTGATGCTGTAATATAAATTATTCTTCTATTTTGAAATTTATAACATGACATCCAGAATTTCCTTTGATCCCTTTGTTGTATAGATAATAATTCTTACAAGCAAAACAATTCTATTAATCAAAACCTTCTCCAAAGTCAGTAAGTGGAGAATAATACATGGAATTGTAAAGTAGTGAACTTCAATCATAGAGAAGTATAACCAGGTGTTTCGAAAAGAGTAAGCTGGTCTGTTTCGCACGTCACCCACCACTAATAAATAGATCAATATCATGAGATACAATCAGATCTAGGATGAGTCCAGTTTTGTTATAACAAGGTTTAATTCGTAGCAAGATTTACTCTGTATATAGAGAGAGCAGAGGAACTGAAGTTGTCTGGGCAGTAAATAAATGACTTGTATAAATAAACCAAGTATTAACGATCTGAACTGCTCAACGAAACCCAAAACACATATTGGTGAAACATTAATAGCAGATAATGAACTTTTCACACGAGGAAGTATATCAATCATAAGTGAGTTAGTATTTCATAATGAAAAGTGGTATAATGACCTCAGATGTATAAGATTATAGACACCTGCATCTGAAGGGAGTTGAGGCTTGTCGTCATTGAGATTATATTACATTCCTGTTAATTGAATAACATGAAGGAAGTTATCTCTACTATCTGTACTACTCCTTTATTTAAATTAGTCTTCAATATTATCTTATAATGATGTAGGACGTAAAACTCCATTCATTTCATTTCATTTTTAAGGTCATAATATTCAACAAACTAGACTTACGAGGTTCTATTTCTTCGACGTAACTAGAAGGAAACCAGCCTGATTTTCCTAGAACTTCTCCACGAAACCAACCATTCTCAGCTTTCTCCATCACAGATACGATTTCATCTGGTTTCAGTGAGATCTGGCTGTCTAACTGAGCCTCAAATTGATATAATACTCGATAGATATATAGACTATCTGAAAATATAGACGAGTTGATATAATACTTGATAGATATATAGACTATCTGAAAATATAGACTAGTTGATATAATACTTGATAGATATATAGACTATCTGAAAATATAGACTAGTTGATATAATACTTGATAGATATATAGACTATCTGAAAATATAGACTAGTTGATATAATACTTGATAGATATATAGACTATCTGAAAATATAGACTAGTTGATATAATACTTGATAGATATATAGACTATCTGAAAATATAGACTAGTTGATATAATACTTGATAGATATATAGACTATCTGAAAATATAGACTAGTTGATATAATACTTGATAGATATATAGACTATCTGAAAATATAGACTAGTTGATATAATACTCGATAGATATATAGACTATCTGAAAATATAGACTAGTTGATATAATACTCGATAGATATATAGACTATCTGAAAATATAGACTAGTTGATATAATACTTGATAGATATATAGACTATCTGAAAATATAGACTAGTTGATATAATACTTGATAGATATATAGACTATCTGAAAATATAGACTAGTTGATATAATACTTGATAGATATATAGACTATCTGAAAATATAGACTAGTTGATATAATACTTGATAGATATATAGACTATCTGAAAATATAGACTAGTTGATATAATACTTGATAGATATATAGACTATCTGAAAATATAGACTAGTTGATATAATACTTGATAGATATATAGACTATCTGAAAATATAGACTAGTTGATATAATACTTGATAGATATATAGACTATCTGAAAATATAGACTAGTTGATATAATACTCGATAGATATATAGACTATCTGAAAATATAGACTAGTTGATATAATACTTGATAGATATATAGACTATCTGAAAATATAGATCAAATTATTTGATTGGTGTGTGATAGTATGATACCCTTGATTAAGTTATCTTTCCTCATTTGACCATTCTACTATAACAAGATATAGATAATCTGTCAGACAGGATCCTAGAGAATCTCAGTTGTTATCCTTGTAAAATCATTTGTTATAGGACTAGCCGGTATACAGGATCCTAGAGAATCTGAGTTGTTATCCTTGTAAAATCATTGGTTATAGGACTAGCCGGTATACAGGATCCTAGAGAATCTGAGTTGTTATCCTTGTAAAATCATTGGTTATAGGACTAGCCGGTATACAGGATCCTAGAGAATCTGAGTTGTTATCCTTGTAAAATCATTGGTTATAGGACTAGCCGGTATACAGGATCCTAGAGAATCTCAGTTGTTATCCTTGTAAAATCATTGGTTTTAGGACTAACTGGTATACAGGATCCTAGAGAATCTGAGTTGTTATCCTTGTAAAATCATTGGTTATAGGACTAGCCGGTATACAGGATCCTAGAGAATCTCAGTTGTTATCCTAGTAAAATCATTGGTTATAGGACTAGGTGGTATACAGGATCCTAGAGAATCTGAGTTGTTATCCTTGTAAAATCATTGGTTATAGGACTAGCCGGTATACAGGATCCTAGAGAATCTGAGTTGTTATCCTTGTAAAATCATTGGTTATAGGACTAGCCGGTATACAGGATCCTAGAGAATCTGAGTTGTTATCCTTGTAAAATCATTGGTTATAGGACTAGCCGGTATACAGGATCCTAGTGAGGCTATTCAGTATTCAGCCTAACTTGTTTTCTTTCTGGATATGTTACGTTATGAGATCATCATAAGAAAGAGAAAGTGGATTGAGTAAAACTAGGAATGTATGAGGGTATTGATATCTTGAGGAATCAAGTTCATGATATTATATGTATAAGTTAATGATCGAAAGGTTGATCTGTATTATATGAAGATATATGGTATTTACACGTATACTTTCCACTGTGAATGTATAAACGCTACCTCATATCATTTCATTGAGCTATTAATAGAAATATTGTTACCCCTGTAAGCCTTCCATAGACCTTATTCACAAGTCAGCCATATTGAATCCAGAATGAGGCTCATAACTTAAAGCTTGAAAAGATTACGTTATGTCACTGAATAAAATCTCCAACTTGACGTCTTTAAAGCCTCCTTCTTCAATCTCGCTAACTTGAAACTAATCATATTTTATATCATTAAAATCAGAATTGATGAAGCTTTTTAATGATACATTTACATGAATTTTACCTTCACATATTTCAGAGAAAGTTTTAAGCCCATTTTTTTGCTGTTGAGCAAGTGTTCAACGACGTCAAATTGGCTATTCATACATATGATGTCCCCATCTTATCATTGGATGACGTAATGAACCTCTCTTTCAGTCCCAAAAACAAGGTGTGAATAAGATCTATTGTCCTATATGATGGTTTCCAATCATCCCGTCTGCTGACAAATAAAAACTACCTCCCTTATTTCATTCCACTTGACTGTTATTTGGAATTCCCTCCCTCATCCACTCATCTATTTGCCCCATTGCCTACCTTGTTGATCCTTTCTACTAGCTGGTGGTGTTTTAGACAGGAGATTAGTTGTTATTTTATTATCGTTGTCAGTAGATACGGTAGAAACAGAGTTGATGGGTATAGAAACATCAGATACCGGATTTAACCATAGATTTCTTCTTTCATTCGTTGAATTCCACTGGAAAATAACAGTTAAAAAGATTGTGTTATTTATTACAAGTGACATTGTGATAGGAACAAATTCTCTGAGTTCTCATGTACAAGGCTAGTACTATTAAACTGATGCTGATGTGTTAAATTATGATTTGGGGCAGGTTGGAGCTGCGTACGAGTGGATAGAGACGAGTGGATAGAGACGAAGAGTAAAAAAAAACATAAAGTTAATTGATGAGCCAGTAGTAAGATAAGCTCAGACGATTGGACAATATAAAGTTAATAATCTGATGCACCACAATATTGTCAAGAGACTTTTTAGGTCAATATTGTTACATCAATCACTAACTGTCTTTCAAACAGTTCATTGTCTACCATGTTTCACTGTAACAGGTAAACCTTGTAAGATGATTAATATTCAAGATGTCGAGTGAATTGTGAACAGGCCAATCAGCACGCTTCAACACAGCCCTTTTTATGGTTTGTTTTGTAGAAATGAACACACACACGAAACTTGAGAATAATAACCGAGTACAGGCAAATTCTCTCATACATAAAGATTGTTTTTTTTCCAAGATGAAAATTTGTAATAAAGTATGAATTTAAACTACATATTTATCTGTAATGTAAGTTAAAATCTTACCCGTTTTTTCTTGCGTTTATTAAAACCAATATATGACAATCCTACTGCTATCATTACAATAATAAAACAGACAGGTATTGCAATATACAACGCCATAAAATTAATAGGTAGAGTTGTTGCCCCTGAAATAAATAGTTTAAGGTAAAGATTCATAACTTTCTTCTGCAGAGTGAAAATTTCTTTAGTTTAACATAAGCTATATGTTTGAAAGAAAGAAAGAAACAACTATATTTTACAAGGATAACAACTTAGGTTCACATTTAAGGATCCTTTTCAACAGTTGGTGCTTGGCCAAACCTCTTGGCATTGGTCTTCTTATATGTACCCATTTACAGCTGGGTCGACTGGAATTATGAGTGAAGATGACTTATTCAATCAAGGTCAACCATGCAAATGATGTCATGTGAAGACGCAATGCTCTAATCAATTAATATGTTTACAAAATATGAACCAGTAGTATTTTAAGGAAATGTCAAAGACTTTGGATAAATTGTTAAAGATGGGTTCCCTTGTTTTCTTTTATGGAAATGAAAATGCTAATACTTATATGAATAGAAAGTAGAGGTGTTGTAATGACTTGTAAAAATACCACATGCCCTTAATTAATTCATAATTAGCTAAATTAGAAGAGAATTACCAGCAGAATTCCAATGAGTGACCGATCAAGAAAGGTCAAAAAGTCTTTTTTTGTTTATCCGGACTGTACATAAATGGACGTTTATGATTGGTTAAAACTCTTAATTATATGCAATGAGAAAATAATGATATGATAAAGAATACATGATAATTCATTAGAAACATCCATTAATCAAATAGTTTTGCTTAATTAAATACTAAAAAATAAGGAAACCCATCTTTAAGAGGTGGTAGTTTAAATCAACCTAAGAGATATTAAGCAATAGACAAGCCCCCAAACCACTTCAATGATACACTATATATAAATATATAAATATGTTATATCATTTAATACATTGTACGTATAATATACCATATCTAATACAAATCTTTACAAGCAAAACAATTCAAGTTGGAAAAATATCGCGTCCAAAGAATGTTAATTAAAAAACACCCCCCACCACCAGCAACACAAAGTCTATAGTTTACTGTATGTATATCAATATAAGTCAGGAAAAACAGACCAGTTGAAGTGTTTAGGTTAATAATTTAAGTGTTTCCTGTTTCAAGTTTTTTTACACCTCTAATTATTAAGTATACTACAAACTGTTACTAGCTAGCCTACATAGAGGATGTAAAGTTTATAGGTCTAGATTTAATAAAAAAAGAAGATTTCTAACTACACTATGAATTGATGTACACATATCTTTTTGTTTTCTTTCTATCTTGATTGAAACTTGGAATGTTCAGTGACGGTTTGGGTGATGGTTTATATGGGTGATGGTGGTGATGGTTTGTGTGGGTGATGGTGGTGATGGTTTGTATGGGTGATGGTTTGTGTGGTTGATAGTTTATGTGGGTGATGGGTTGTATGGGTGATGGTTTCTGTGGGTGATGGTGGTGATAGGTTGTGTGGGTGATGGTTTGTGTGGGTGACAGTTTAGGTGATGGTTTGTGTGGGTGACGGTTTGTGTAGGTGATGGTTTGTGTGGGTGATGGTGGTGATGGTTTGTGTGGGTGACAGTTTGGGTGATGGTTTGTGTTTTTGTTTAAGGATTGTTATTCATTTTAATTTATTTTCTTTTCCTGTATATTTGTGGTTTCTTTTCTTTAAATGTTCAGGGTGTAAT